AGGCTGTCGGGGCTGGCCGTAGGAGGTGAGCCTTCTGCTACGCTAAGGAAGCCGTTTGGGAGGAGTGTATCCGCCGGGAGGCAGGTTGTGCACTTGCGCATGGGCACAGCAGAAAGAAAGCTGGGCCCGTCGCTGCCTGCAAGGCCTGCCAGGCCCGCGAGGCCCGGGGCTGAGCTTGCTGTTTCACCGCTTCGAGAAAAAAAGCCTGCTCAGAGAGCTCGTTTGAGCGCTTGGATGTACAGGCGTTGATGACTCGGAATGCACGAACTCCAGCAACTACCAATGTGCATGAGCAAGTCCGCGGGAAGATCTCTTGCTGGTATAGTTTTTTGTGGATTTGTTCTTGCATGAATGGCTTATGTGCAGATCTGAGCACGTCTCAACAAAACATAGATGGCAAAGCAGAGTCAACGGAGCTGAACTGATGGTGGTGGCACAACCGAGGACAGGATGTTACTCAAGGACATTCAACATGGCATGCGCATAACAATTTCGGGTTGCCATGGGCATGGCTTCTGGAAGCTGATAGGCCCTGAATGTTTTTTTCCGATTGGGTCCAACACGTGCTATTGCTTGTTCCTGTTCTGAAGGCTCCAAGGTACATGCTCGCCCTTTCATGGACTGGGGCGTTGATTTGGCTGGCACCTTGGAGCTACTTACCAGTGTTTTTTTGGTGGTTGAACCTAGTAATATAGGGAAAATGGAAAAGAAAATGGAAACTACTATATTTTAATAGGGTATATATTGGGGTGATATTGGGGTTATATTCCGCCTACTCTTCTACTTGATTATCCCAGCATCTATGCACCTGTCCCAGTGGGATAGCACTGCAAGGACATCTTGGCATTGCCCTGCTGTCAATGCAACTGATCCTCTTGGATAATGGGATCCCTGCTAAGACTGTGCAGGTGCTGTAGCTCCCTAGGACTCTTTAATCCAAACATCTGCTTTGTCCCCTGCATTAGGGTAGTCCAGCTTGGGGTCCAGCCGCGAGGTCTGCAGCATCACTTGGAAGCATTCAATTCAATTCAAACGGAATACGGGTTGAAAGTCTACCTTCAATCGTAGCAGCCAGACCGATCGCACTCTTGTACTGCCCCGGCAAGGATTCAACCGGCCATTCCGTGCACTGCAATTGAAGGGGAGGTGCAACAACACAAGATGTGACTCGTGAGAGATGTGCGCGATCGCCAGGGCACCGACCTGCCCTCACACACTGCGGACTGGGCTTTGGATCAGCCCATGACACGGCTTCCCAGTTGCAAGTAGGAGACCTGCAGTGAACGCACGGTTGCACGTTTTGCGCGCGTGGTATAGCTTCAGCTTCGTGGCACTGCTTTTGGGAGTGTGCGTTCCGGCTTGCATCGCAGGCGTTGGCCCAGGAGAAATCAGCAGAGTGCCCGCAAAGCCCTCAAGAGCCCCCCCATGCAGGACTCACGGTCGCGCTCTCGAGAACACCTGGGACAATTCAAGAACTTTCTGCAGATGTTGAACACCTTCGTCCAAGACTTTAGCTCCAGCTCGTCTGGCCGTGATGGGAAGGTAGCGTGGATCGCTGAAAGGTCAATGGGTACGTGCGCCACGAGCCCGGTGACGGTGATGACACTCCAGGTGGCAGGGTGGCAAGGAATATACAAAGGCGAGGGTGCCAACCAAAAGATGGCGAAGCATGCAGCAGCAGAAGCGTTTTTCGCGGATCCTCAGGTTGAAGAACAGTGGAAGGCCATGATGTCCAAGCGCTTCCTGCGCAGAAACAGCTCTGCAAAGAAGGACTAAGCATGCTTGGCATCTGCCCTTGGATGCCATGACTTGCAGCCCGAGCGCTGCACGGCCTCACAAGACTTGAGCGCGGGATTGAAAGAAAAGAAAGTGAAGACTGCTGGTGCTTTCGGTAGATTGGAATCCTCGTGGAAGACTTGCTTAGCTGAGCTATCCGTTAAGTTTGACGTGAGGCTTGCTGGGGCATGGCGTGCCAGCACCCTGGATAGCCGAGTGGTCCTCAGGCCACTTCACATATCAAAGAGATCGTCCAATAATTAGCGTGCCATCTTGCTAGAGCTGGTCAAGGTCCGAGGGCGCGTAAGTCTGGATGTAGGCACAGTCAGCGTATTTTACGTGACCTATATAACATGACATGTTCTTACGACTTCGGTAACTTTCTGGAGTTGTTTATGTTAAAAACAACGAATATCAGGGCCAAGCCAAGGGGATAGCACAAAGATGTTATGATGCAGCCCCGCAGCCCCTCGACGAAGCCCCACTACTTCGTGTTTGCCCCAATGCTTCGACAAACCGACATCTCGCGGACGGAAGGGTCTGGAGGTTCATCTAAATTGCCTGACTTCGTGTAAAATTCGTCGAAATTTGCCTTCGCAAATTAGCTTCGCCTCAGGGGGAGACTTCGGGATGGTCACGTTTGCGAAAGCTCTTCGTCTAAGTTCGTCTGAGCCGTTTGCTTTGGGCAAGGTTCGTCAAGGAGGCACTGGCTTCGGCTAGCCTCGTCTAGGCCTGTCGGTTTGCACAGGTTTCGTCCAGGCCTGCCGGCCATAACCCCCACTGAGCGTCCCCCTCGGAATAACCAATTTCATAGGCATTTCCACGAAGCTGGTTGGGTGGAAAGGCGCCCCTGCAATCTTTGCATAGCCCGAGAGGTGCCCCCGCAAGAGTTTGCGCGTTGCACGCAGTTCCGCGTCTAAACCAGATTTTTTCATTGTGTGCAGTCGCCTCTTATTTCACATACAGGCTTTCCTGGATCTCCCATAATGGTATTCGTTCAATGAATGTTTTCATGTGGAGTTCCTCTGCGAATCTGTTCCTGTCACTCTAACGCCCCCCTGCAAAATCGGAGCAGCTGATGATCGACAACGTGCTAGGGCCTGGCTAGGGTTTTCAATTTCTAGCAAGCGAATACCTGTTGTTTTGGGAGTGCCAGGGTCTTGAGCTCTTTTCGACCAACCACATGGAGTTGCTGTCATTTGAAAGCAAGGGTGGCTGCAAGACCCGCAGGAATCCTTCGCCGGAAGCAGTCTCTGCACCTTGCGTTTCAGACCCGTCTGCGATGAGATGTGCGCCCTGGCTCCTGGTTAACAAGCCTTTGCCAGTACAGACTGTTTCTACCAGCTGGCGACCACATCCAACAAAGCACGCGCATTATCGATTCTCAAGGCAGCAAGCTCGAGTTCTTCAAGGATGATGAGAAGAGTCATACCCTCAGACAGCTTTGATTTTGCATCTGTTTTTCTGCAGCTGCACGGTACGGTTTGAGGGTTCCAGGTTCTGTGAACAGCCGCAACAAGGTCGTCCTGGGAATGAACGGTCAAACTAAGGACAGGTCCTCTATGAGCCTGAGCCTTGGAGGCACCAGTCGTGCTTGGCCACGCTTTCCCAAACTTCCATCAACTGCGGAAAATATCCCAGGTGATCTGCACTGCACTCATCCCAGCTGAAGGACTCCGTGGCAAGGTGTGTGGTGGAGCTCCGCTCCGACGACAGGGCATCATCTGGAAGGTCCCAGGCTGGACTCTGAGCTGCTGAGACACCAAAGGCGAAGGCGGAGCTCTGACATGGGTGGCAATTCGGATCTGTGCTGCAAGGTGGAGGCAATAGTCGTTCAGAAAGCGCAAGATTTAGCATGAAGCGTATGGGCTTGGAGCACAAGAACTCCAAGCCAGCCCCTGATGAAGGACTTTTTCTGGCGGCCTTACGCAGCAACGCGCACGGCTGCACATGAACTTCCTGCCAACCCAGCATCCAGCAGCGGCCTTCGATCACGAAGTCATGGCCCAACAGCTGCTTGAGTCCTTGTTGCTGTGCAGCAGCCAGGCGAAGCGCAAATGATGTGCTGTGTGCAGTTCGGATCTGACATAAGAAGTAACCAGCATACCAGCGCAGCGAGTTCAATTCATGCTCGATTAGGCTAGAAAACTCCGCAGTGGTGGAAGCATTTCCAGGTAAGCTACGGCAAAGGCAAGCAAAAGTGACGCGATCGAAGGACTTCTCCTGAAGGAGCTATAGCCCCAATATAGCCCCTATATAACATAGTAGTTTAAATTGTTCCATTATCCATATATAACCCCAATTATAACCCCAATATAACCCTTATATAATGTACTAGAGCAGGTGAGGTCAAGATCCCTAGAGGCCGCTGACCCTAAGGGTTAAGGCCTAAAGTGATGCGCTTCCAATCTGCGCCAGTAGTAGTATCTTATTTGGGGAGACTATGGTACCCAATAATATAGGGTTTAGGGCCCTATAATGGAGAATCAAATGGAAAAGAAAATGGAAAATGAAATGGAAACTGGTGTTATGTAGTGGTTATATTGGGGATATAGTATTTTATTTGGGGATACTATGGTACCCAATATAAACAAAGATCATATCCTCCCTTTGGGCATAGAATTTTTTGCAAAGACAGTCTTCTTACTCTGTTGGGCGCATCTCTGCTCAAACCTCCATGGTCACAGAAGCTTCATCGCAGCACAGGGGCTGGCGCGGAGCTCAGTCACACAAGGCTTTAGGGCGAGGGTGTATGACCTGAACCGCTTAGAGTTGCTGGCAAGCAACCGAAGCAAGCCCAAAGCAAGCCCACTTCTGCAGCTAGAGAAACTGAATAATCATAAACTTGCCCATCGGGTGTACGGGTATAGTCTCAACTTCCCCAACACAAAACGTATGGCTTAAACTCTCAGTATTCCCCTTAACAACCCCTATAGTAGTCCCCTTTATAATCCCCTATATAACCCCGTTTAAGAAGTTTAGACACTAAACCCTTAACCCTTAGCCCCATATGTAGCCGCCCTTTTCAGGAGTTTCGACTAACTCATATGCTGTTATCAAAATCCCTTGGTGTTGCAAGGCTCCTGCTGAAGCTTTGTTGATTCCTGTTTACGGGTTTCGTTTTATGGCTCTAGGGTTTTGAGCCATTATTTTTTCACTTGGGATGAAGCTTGCAATTTGGGACTTAGGGTTTCAGGTGTGTAGCTTCAGCCCATCAGCTGCAGGCCATGGCTCGCAAGAGGGCGTTGGCAGCACTGGCACTTGGTGTGTGGCAGGGGGTCCCAAACTGGCAAGTTGCTTCAAAACGCCTTGAATATCTATTATATAGGATATTTGTATGATATAGGGGGTATATGCTTTGGTTTAGGGTTTAGGGTAATATAGGGATAATGGAAAAATGGAAACTACAGTTGGGGTTAAATTTTTGCTTCTGCTCCTAGAGTTCGTTTGCTTATGGCCCTGGCATTACATATATATATATATATGCTACCCCCCCCCCATTGACCAAGGTTTTCTGGATGAATTCCTTTTAAATTCCATCTGAGTCAAAGGAAATCGTGGAATACTGGAATTCTAGTTTGTTTTGGAGGTGGCTTTGCTCCGGCTAAATTCTTTTTAAAATCCAATTAGGAATCAAAAAAGCAATCTAGAAATCCTGGCATTCCAGTTTTGGAGGTGGCTTTGCTTTATATAAATTCTTTCTCAAAACCAAGTAGGGATTAACGCGAATTCCTTTTCCAATCCTCTCAGCAAGCAAAGGGTAATCTTAGAATCCTGGAATTCTAGTTTTGGAGGTGGCTTGGCTCCAGCTAGATTCCTTTAAAACCCAGTTAAGACTTAAAGAGGAATCTTGCAATCTTGGACTTCTTGCTTTGAAGGTGACGTTACTTTTTATATATCCCTTTTTAAAATACAATTCAGAATCAAAGAGACATCTTGGGATACTGGAATTCTAGTTTATGAAGTGGCTTTCCTTTATATGAGTTCCCTTTAGATTCCAATTAGGATTTAAAGAAGAATCTTGAAATCCCGGAATTCTGGTGTTGGAGGTGGCTTTGCTTTGTATAAATTCCTTGTAAAATCCACTTAGGAATCAAGGAAGAGATCTTGGAATCATGGAAGTCTAGTTTTGGAGGCGGCGTTGTTCCAGCTAAGTGCGCTCTGAAATCCAATTAGGAATTAGGAGGAATCTTTTGGGATACGGGAATTCTGGTTTTGGAGGTGGCTTTGCTCCAGCTAAATTCTTTTTCAAAATCCAATTGGGAATTTAAAGAAATCCTGGACTCATGGAATTCTAGTTTTGGGGGTGGCCTGGCTTTGTATATATTATTTTAACAATTATTAGAAAGCAAAGTTGAACTTTGGAAGTCTGGAGTTCTAGTTTTGGAGGCGACATTTTGGTGTGTATTAACTTCTATGAAAAACTTCTAAGAAAACAAAGGGGAATCTTGGAATCCTGAAATTCGTGTTTTGGAGGTGGCTTGGCTCCAGCTAAAATCCTTTAAAGTCCAGTTAGGAATTAAGGAGAAATCTTGTAATCTTGGAATTCTTGCTTTGGAGGTGGCTTGGCTCTATATACATTCCCTTTTAAATCCAGTTAGGAATTGAAGAGGAATCATGGTAATCTTGGAATTCTTGTTTTGGAGGTGGCTGTGCTTTATATAGCGGACTGCATCTTGGTAAAGATTGCCTCTTGAGTTGGGGTTGGCTTTTGGTTGGAGTCTTCAGGGTCTAGGTATTGGTTGGCAAAAATTGTCCAGGATAGCCTTTTCCTACGACTGAATCACAACAGTGGAAAAAGGAAATGATGGTTTGGAAGATGTGGGCCTAGAGCTTCAGATTCTTCAACACCAAGAATTCGTTGAGAAGAGTTGTGGAGGACAACTTTCCAACCATTTTCAACCAACAATCGTAAGAAAAAAACCTGCTGGACAACTTTTCCCAATGCCACCTCAGGAGATTCTCTGGAAAACCACGAATTCATGGAAAACATTGGCCAGGCCAATGTTTTCCATGAATTTCCATGAAAAAAACGATGGAAAACATTGGCCAGGCCAATGTTTTCCATGAATTCATTGAATTTCATAGATTCCTGGCTCGATTCCTGGCTGGTCCCAGGAGATTCTCTGGAAAACAACAAGTTCATGGAAAACATTGGCCAGGCCAATGTTTTCCATGAATTCAATGAATTTCGTAGATTCCTGGCTGGTTCCATGAAATATAGTGGAAAACCACAAATTCATGGAACACATTGGCCAGGCCAATGTTTTCCA